GGGTTCAATGCGATGGCGTCATCAACGTCCCACCTCACGACCGAATGTTAAGAACTATTATTTAAAAAAACTTTCACTCTACAATGTGCACAACTAAATCTTTTTAAACTGTTTAATATGACAGAATTAAGCACACACATGCTTTAAAACACCGAAGTATTGCCCTAACGTATTGATAGAGCCTGTACCGCACGGGGCAATGAATTGAGTCCGTTCTGCCATCTCGTGGTTAAAACGAGAAATGCGATAAGAGATTTCATTTGCTCGGTCCATAACATGTACATCACCGAACCTGTCGATAAAATGACACTTAACCTTTGAGATTGTTCTGTCCAAGAACAACTGGTGACGTACTGCCACAATATTATCGAATTTGGTAACTGTGAGTGACGAAAATTTTCAGGTAACGACAATATATGAAGTTCAATGTGCCCTTTGAAGTGAATTTCGTAAGATGTACTTATTGTATATGTAACTAAAGATTGTTGTCTTCTGGGTTGTTGCGCCATGTAGTATGGTAGAAGTCCACCAACATTTCAGAGGTCATACTGCCTTCGTCATCTGGGCGATGAATGAGCCAATCCAAGTGCTAGGTTTATAGGTTCTGGTCCCTATAAACCTAGCCCTGATGATGGAGGCAGTATAACCTCTGAAACGTTGGTTGACATCTACCATACTACATGGCGCAACAACCAAGGAGACAGCAATCTTCATACTCACTGCTGTGAAAACCTCAAATCCTACGTACATGTAATTAATTTGACAAGGTATGAAAAACTACTACCTCAAAAATGTGGCATATTTATAATGAAGCACAAAATTTAAAGCGACTGGGAAATAATTCTGAGAATGTGATTTGGCTGTCAAAATTTAACATGATCTCAAAATTAGAACACTGTTGTTATAACCACAGCAGAGCTTTTACTTATTTCCAACATACTTCTTAGTTACCTTTGGTATTCTGACATTGCAAATCAATTAATGGAACAAAATATTAGAAGTATTTTATTAATGTCTCCAACTTAATAACAGCATTTATATCTGTGGCATTACTACAGGTCACCAACTGCAGCCTAATTAACAAAACAGAGGTAATGTTGAAAGTGAAGAAATATGTATGAAAGCAAGAGACCCAATATGAGGTACTGCACCTCACATTCAATGAGAAGATATTTTAGATATGTATAAACACTTCAGTGAAGAGAATAAATTGTTTTCTCTACTTATGATAATGGAACTACCGAAGAAAGGACTTACCGAGACCCTGCACTGACATGAAGGTGTCACAGTCAACCAGAAACTGTCCAGTTTGCACTGCGCCAAGTGCCATAACGCGTTTTGTGAGAAATTCTATGGTCTGTGGCCCAGTACGATTCTCCACCATCGGAAATTGTTGTAAACTGGAATGAAAATAGTATGCAATTTAGAACTTCTATTAGTTATATTTAAATGTCAAACTATTTTACGTATGATCCGAAGCTTTCAAGGCGACAAAGTACAATAAATTCTTCTCAGGCTACCAGCCATGTCAGGTGGTTGAAAGTCGAAAAAAACCCAACGTTTCAAGAATCATCTTCGTCCTCAGGGACTTCAGAACCCTGCTGGTAGCCCTCCAAGAATTTATTAAACTATTTGAGGTTAAGCAAATCATACACAAAAATTTTAGTTTAATATTAACACACGCCAAATATTCTAATACATACACGGTAACACCCATGTTAAAATGGCTTTACTGCGCTGCAAACGTTACTAAAGCACTACTGATAATCAATTGTTTTCTGAACACAAAAATCAGTACAATTCACACACTTTACACAACACCACATGAGGCAATGAATAGATGTCAGCAGTGCTGTTGGTTTTTTTTAACCGCAGCCTTGTAAACATGTAAATTTGATTCGACTATAACTTTCGCCCGCCCAACAACACTAATGTAATAATATATTTGGAAAAGTAACGAAGTAATTGTAGGTGTGAATCTAAACTTAATTTTAAATTCCAAACACAGTTTTTATTTGAATATGATATCAATATTGGTTTTATTAAAAGTGCCAAATTCAGAATAACATATGCCATGAAGGCATCAACTGTATATACCAAGCCCAATCCATACACCCGTTGTAAATGAGCTGTGTTCAAAAAGTACATACCATTGATGCAGTATGGCGTCGAAAGGATTATGTCAGGAACGAAATAACACAGAAAATGAAGAATCCGAAATTGTTCCAGATTTTGAACCAGGGGCGTCTCTTGAGAGTATGCTTGTTACAACTGATTCTTTTGAGGAACTGGAACAGGAAATGGATTCTAGTTTTGATGAAAGGCAAATGAAAGAAAGTACAACCAGCACTATTAGTGAGATTCAAGAAGAATTGCATGATACAACTATCCCTGAGGACTCGAGTTCTGATCAGGATGACAAGCTAATTGAAAATGATGAAGTGGCATGTAACAATTTTGTTCATGGATTACCTTCAGGGCAATTGGGTTTTTAAGCAAATGGGGATGTGTCAGGACCATTTTCCCTTTTACAAATTTATTTTGATTTTATATATTTATTAAAAAAACCCAACGTTTCAAGAATCATCTTCGTCCTCAGGGACTTCAGAACCCTGCTGGTAGCCCTCCAAGAATTTATTAAACTATTTGAGGTTAAGCAAATCATACACAAAAATTTTAGTTTAATATTAACACACGCCAAATATTCTAATACATACACGGTAACACCCATGTTAAAATGGCTTTACTGCGCTGCAAACGTTACTAAAGCACTACTGATAATCAATTGTTTTCTGAACACAAAAATCAGTACAATTCACACACTTTACACAACACCACATGAGGCAATGAATAGATGTCAGCAGTGCTGTTGGTTTTTTTTAACCGCAGCCTTGTAAACATGTAAATTTGATTCGACTATAACTTTCGCCCGCCCAACAACACTAATGTAATAATATATTTGGAAAAGTAACGAAGTAATTGTAGGTGTGAATCTAAACTTAATTTTAAATTCCAAACACAGTTTTTATTTGAATATGATATCAATATTGGTTTTATTAAAAGTGCCAAATTCAGAATAACATATGCCATGAAGGCATCAACTGTATATACCAAGCCCAATCCATACACCCGTTGTAAATGAGCTGTGTTCAAAAAGTACATACCATTGATGCAGTATGGCGTCGAAAGGATTATGTCAGGAACGAAATAACACAGAAAATGAAGAATCCGAAATTGTTCCAGATTTTGAACCAGGGGCGTCTCTTGAGAGTATGCTTGTTACAACTGATTCTTTTGAGGAACTGGAACAGGAAATGGATTCTAGTTTTGATGAAAGGCAAATGAAAGAAAGTACAACCAGCACTATTAGTGAGATTCAAGAAGAATTGCATGATACAACTATCCCTGAGGACTCGAGTTCTGATCAGGATGACAAGCTAATTGAAAATGATGAAGTGGCATGTAACAATTTTGTTCATGGATTACCTTCAGGGCAATTGGGTTTTTAAGCAAATGGGGATGTGTCAGGACCATTTTCCCTTTTACAAATTTATTTTGATTTTATATATTTATTAAACAACTGATTTCCTGTTTGTGAAGATAAAAACCTAATAAGCAATGCAACTAAAATAACTGTATTTCATTTCAGGAAGAAGTAGCATCACAGTTAAGTGAAACAAGCCTCACATCCAATGAAGAAGGTAACACTGCAGCCACTCCCGTTGGCTCCTTGCCAGAGGAAGAGTATTGGCAAAACCCTGAATGGAAGGAAAGGAAGAAACATGTATTTATTCTTAGTGCAGCTGGGAAACCAATATATTCAAGGTTGTATTTAATGGGCACTTATTTGTTCATGACCTATACTGCAGAATGTATTTTATTTATGGCTTATGTAACAATGATGTCAGTATCTCAGATTATATACTGTGAAATGCGAGAATGAAAAGTTGTGTGAAACAGTTATGGCCTAACTTCAGAAATGGACTGATTGACGAAAATTACAAAATCATTCAGTCACTGTAGCCAGTCTCTGGGCCTAGAGTTCAATGCAGAACCTCCTGAATATGAAGGAGTAGTAACCACAATGTTTGGTTCTGATTTCATACATATTAGCTGTTGGTCCTCCTGGTTGAGCTAGCCTCAGACCTTTATGTTTAAAACAATATAACATTTTAATGTATTTCCTAGTCAAAACCAAATTTCACTGAGCTTACTTTGTTGACAGGTATGGTAGTGAAGATAAACTGGTAACCATATTTGGGGTCATGCAGGCACTAGTGTCATTTGTACAAACAAATCAAGATACAATTCGGTCCATCCATGCAGGGAACTCTAAGTTTGTGTTCCTTATAAAAGGTCCTATCATCCTTGTTTCTGTGTCACGGACAACAGAAAGTGTGTCGCAACTGGTCCTGCAGCTCACGTAAGTAATTTAAGGCCTTCTGTAAGTGTTCACAATATTTTGCATGTTTGGCAGCTCATGGATACAACAGTATAGTGTGTCCTTACTCTGCCATTATGTTGTACATTGTTCTTTGAGGTATTTTTAACATAGCATTGTTCTGGAACTGTATTGTTTTTAAGCCTCAGACAAGTCTATGCAAAGGCATTTCCTCCCATGCTGATGTTATGGTTATGCCAACATTTGTAGGGAATTTATCACCTCCATTTTCTGCCCTGAAGTAGAGGTGACAGGTTCCTCCACACTACACAGCAATATAATTTACTGGTCATGGATTTGCACAATGTACCTTAATTTTGTTCCAGGTATGTGTACAATCAAATTGTAAGTGTTCTTACATCCTCACAACTGACCAGAATTTATGAGCAGCGGCGTAATTATGATCTTCGTCGTCTGCTAGCTGGCGCAGAACGACTGATTGACCACCTACTGAACTTTATGGAACGAGAACCAGCATTTCTTCTTGGTGCAGTGAAATGTTTGCCATTAACACCATCTGTGAGGGATTCTATTACACAGACAATCGTACAAACTTGTGGCAAAATTAAGGTTGGTCATGGAACTAAAATGTGTAAGCTGTTTACACATTATGAGCAAGATGTGACACTTTTTAAAGATGACCTTGTTTCCTTTATATCATATTTGTACCATAAATACTTTTTCAGATGCAGGTGCAAAAAGCAAATAAGGCTGTCACTATTAATAACGCAGTTTTTGACATGATAGAAAAGTTCTGTTGTGAGATATGGAAGAATAAACTCACTTTACATCATTTCAGAACTTGGTGTTTGGTATACTGCTTGCCAAGAACCAGCTTATTACATTGGTACGCATGAAGAAATACTTCATTCATCCAGCAGACCTGCATCTGATTTTCAATCTAGTGAACTCATCCGAGTCATTCAAAGCCGCAGAGAGCTGGACACCTATATGTTTACCCAAATTTGACTCAAGGTTGGTAAAACTATCTGTAATGTTCTCCAGAATGACATCTTATCCATAACATACTCAGGCCTATAGAACTTCAGGACACACTTAAGCAACATTTTTTTTATAATCTCTAAAGCAGAAGTCCAGAAATACAACTTAAATCTGTTTACCACTTACCAAAATCTACTTGTCCATAGACATGCATCACATTTCATACTCTGCACTTATTTCCAGTGACTTGTGTGTGGTGAGTAGAAGAACATATTGCTGAAGTTCTGATCTAAACATTTATTATCTTTCCACTCTGATTTTATGTTGGAGACTTGTTCTTTTTCTGGCTTATATTAGTATAAGTACTGTTTTGCAAGTTGTCTACTTCCATATTCAACTGTTTTGTCATTACAGCAATAAAAATTAAAATAATGATGTAAACACCGCAGTAAAAGTGTTAACTACAGAAACATGGGTTATCTGTTCTTTTCAAGCGGATTCTTACATGGGCACGTATCCTATCTGTCAGATGACTGTCAGGCATGTTTGTTACTACTGACTGTGGATCGAGATGTATTCTTCACACTGTCGGAGGCAAAGCAGAAAATTGTAGAGGTGAGAACCAACCAAAATTATATGTACTAACTCTTGTAGCAGAATACTAAAGTTCATTACTCATCATACCAGACTACCATTGGACACTTTTCTGAACCAGTTCAATCCAGTACACATCTCTACAACCTATTTTCATGAGTCTCCTTTTCATAGTGGCTGCATTATACCCAGACCAAAATAGTGAACCCATTTCTTTCGTCTCGTCTATATGTGGAACTAACATAGAAACACTTCTATACATTGTGAGAGTCCCTGCAAAACATGTGACTGTATGGTGGATTTTGCTACCACAAATTTAGATTTTTTGGATATACAAGTTTCAATAGCATCGTTGATTGTTTGCATTCCAAGTTATATCAACATTGTCTCCTACAAAAAACTTGAAAATTTTTAGAAAGTTTTTAATAACTTCCTTTTGAATACAAAGATTAATAAAGTCATTGTATGTACTTACTGAGAATCATAAATGAAATAACTTGGAGAAAGACAGAATAATATATGAAACAGTAAAAGAGAGAATCTTTTACAGGAAATACAGAAATTGTAAATTTATTATATAATCTTGAACCAAGTAATTTTGTTTTCAGAAACTACGACGTGGGAATTGTCTAGAAGCAATCAATGAGAGTGTGAACAGAGCAAGCTACACAGCATCGCAGGTAGGGGTGCCTGAAATGCGACATTTCCTGTACAAGTGCAGGTCAACAGCACAGTTCTGGAGCCCAGCACTGGAGCCTCCATATCATGTGACTGAGGAATCAGAGCGGTTACTGGGCCTGTATCAAGCCCTACATCACCGCCTCCATGCTGCCTCACGACCGCTCAAGTTGCTGCACCAGCAGTTAGAAAAAGAAACTATGCTGGGTTGGGTAAGCACTATAGAAACTTTTGTTCTAAAATAATTATCTTTCATGAGCTGGAATAATTGAATCAGGAATGTGACTGGATGAGGACTGAACAGCTAGGTCCAATTTACAATGCAATTAAGTTCTCAAGTAATCAGACGTGAGAAAGAAGTTGACGTATCCTATCCTCTGTATCCGACAAGCGCATTCTCAGACAAGGGCACCGGGCTGGTTGGCTCTTACAGCCTGGTGTCCTTGTCCGTCACTCATTGCAGCAACTCCATTTTCACACAGAAGATCACCTGAGAAACTTCACTGCAAAATCGAAAATTATTAAAATTATTCAGTTTTCTGCAAAATAATTGTTTTAAATCCAAATATAGAACAAGATTAATACTCTATCTTTTTCCTTGGTATGACTCTATGATTTAGATCATAAAATACAGTGATGTTAAGGAATAAATGGTGTGATAAATGGAACAATAAAATGTGAAGCAATCAGAAACAAAAGGATGAAATTCTGTTAAGTGATTACAGTTCTTTGCAATGCTTGAACAGAAGGGTTCTGTCTACAACAAAGATTTCCGAAGATGGACATATTGCTCTATGAATTTTTCTTTCAGGTTACATCTGGTTTTGAACTATACATAACATTTGAACCTCTAGTGACAAAGCACAGTGCTATCAATGCTGTCAACAAACTTCTTAGGTGGATCAAGAAGGAAGAAGATCGACTGTTTATTCTCAATGCACCTACATTCTAGTATAGCTAATGAAAAACAGCAGTTCTCATCATACAGTGGAGGATTTGTGGGATCTTTGTAACTCCTCACCGAGATCTTTGCAAATGTAACTTGGGGGTGTTTCCTTGTTTTATTACTATAGTTTGTAGTATTTGTACAACTGTAGCATAACATATGCATCACCCATGCTTTTTTAAGATAATTTAATTTGTCAGAACTTTGTATGGCCATAATACCTGTATCGAGCATCTTTTTGAGATAACCAAGAGTAAATAATTGATTTAATGCAAATTAAATACCATTTGAATTCTTAAAATGACCACAATATTTCACAGAACTTAACAAAAGAATATGAAGTATAGTGTTAAGCAGAAGTACTACTCTGTTAAAAAACAAAGAATAATGAAAATCTCAGAAAAATATCCTAATTATCCCTAAATTTGAAGCTGTGCTAAAATATACAGGACCTAAAATAGGACATTAAAATCCGGTCTGTATGCCACCACCGTCAGGGAAACAAAAATCATGACTTTACAAATTTTTGGCACTTCATATGCCCAGAGAGACATACAGAAAGCACTGCAAGTAATTCAGAAACTGTCTGAAGCATCACACACTGCCACCAACATGGATCCTGAATCAGACCTTTTTAATCATTAGGGAACAACAAAGCTACAACACTCAATTATAAACATTTAATATGCGAAAATTATCTAAAACAACCTTAAATCAGGACACTGCACTGTGAAACCTTTAGGCTATGTACCAACATTTCAGAGGATTATACTGTCTCTGTCTTCAGGGTTGAAGATACAACCCAGAAGACTGTCTGTATTCACATTTGCTGTGAAAACTTCAACTCCTACATCTAATGTAAATGTTAATAGTAAAAAATATGTATTTTCTGGAAACAGTCCATGAAAATGAAAAATATACCACATGTAATTATATGCAGATAGATTATTTACCCACCAATCATAATATTCCCATCTCATTCAATACATGAAGCTGAAACAGAACCTAGTAATAAGCATGAGGCTGCTTTGTGTGCTAGCTTGGAAAATGATTTTGGGGATTATCCTCGGTTTTCAAAGAATCATCAAGAAGTGTCGAAGAAAGCATTTATATTTGTATTTTTAAGAAAAACTGAAAGTACATTACTTGTCCTTGAATGTAACTTTTATCAAGGTTGGTTACACATTGGACACAGCAGACTCCTATTTATCTGGGGGCAGATTAACCAGGGTCTATCTGATTTAAACAGAAATTATTGAGAAAATCTGTTGTAAAAGTTAAAACATTTGAAAAGTAATAAATAAATACAAAAATTACATATTAAAATTAACTGCTGCTAGAACTTGAAGTTTATGACAATAGAATGTTACTACTATCCACTGGAATCCATTTTAAAAAATAGTTGGTATATACTGTATAAAATTTTATATCAGATCCTTTCTGTTATTAGAAAATCTTTACAAATTAATGCCTGTAAATAAACTTATGTATCTGTTTCATTTGCATGTTTGTCTCATTCTTTCACATTATCTGGAAAAATACATTTCCCAACCAACCTGGATAATCAAGAGTCTACTGTAACTGCTAAATATTTTTGTCTTTACATATTACACACATGGCAATTTACAAACATGTCTTGAAACGTGCATAATGTTTTACTGGCACTCGTTTGTGAACAATCTTATAAACCAGATTGAAACATTTCAGAAGGTATTAAGGAAAGCAAGACCTACTTTTTAGCCTTTGTAACATTTTATATACTCAGTATTATCATGAATTACTTGAGACCACAGTCAATTTATATTTTAGCTTGATGCAAGAAACAGGATTGCAGCAATGAAATGTTGCTACTGTGTAGCAAGGATTTTCATGGCCATATTGTTTTGTAATGCACATACATATGTAGTACTGTAATCAACATTTGTAAAATAAAGTGCAAGTATTAATGGACAAACTGCAAGCAAATTCTTACCCCTGATGCATGAATTTCTTATAAGATTACGACATGACATTTGAATGTTTCTTCTGCCTTCTCTTCTCCAAATAATTTTCATGGGGATTTGACCCCACTAATGTTAATAACATTTCGGTTTATCAAGGTAGCAAGTAGGAGGTTGTACCATGTACATGTGTAGAAACTGACCTGACATTTCGGAGGTGTGTACTCCTCCACCATCAGTGCAGTAATGATAGAGGCAGTAAGCTCCTCAGAAACAAATTCTGCCAGGATATGTGGTGTAACACCCCAAAAGACAGTCATCTTCTTTTCTTATAACATTTTATTAATATTGCTTAAAACTGTAAAAGTCAGTATTCTGCAAATAAGGGAAATGGGTGGCATATGAAATCCTCACAGCAATGATTTCAGTTGTGGTTTTCTGGGTTGACACCATGTAGGCTTGTAAGCCGTTTCCAGTGTATTGATACACTGAAAGTGAAAGTGATAGGTTACTCTTAAATGCTCGTAACCAAAAGACTACACAATGGAACATCCCAGGATATTGCAACTGACAAGGGAAACTGGTCTGACAAGCAATGATATATTCAAGATTGAAATTCATTTGTTCTTTGCATAAACTGGATGCATAATGCATAAATGGGGAGCAATCTGTCCATCCATGCATTTCATCTCTGAAAATTGCTTATATATTTTAATAAAATGTGGTGTTTGCTGTGTGCACCAACAGTTGGAAGGTACATGGTAACTGGATTGTGAAGATATTCATTGGAGTGGATCAAAGTTTTAAACAGTAGCCATCTACCTTTATTCATTCCCACACAAAATTACTAAACTGCATGACCAATGTTGCACTAACATGGCTTCCAAAAATAGTACAAAATGTGTAACAGGAATCAAATATCCAAAGAAATTTCTGGTCTAATATCTGAAGACAAAATTAAAATTGTTATTCAGTCCATTAGTTTGTACATAAAACTCTTCCAATTATCTGTTCAATCCAAGATACATATTTTAAATTTTGCCCTGTATTACATGTCACGATGTCTAGGTCTTACTCTATCCTGATCCCTTGTTCTCTCTTGGTCTCTCATTCTGTCCTGTTCACGTGCTCTGTCCTGATCACGAGCTCTGTCCTGTTCACGTGTTCTATCCTGATCCCGACCTCTGTCTTGGTCCCTGTCCCTGCGTCTTACATCTCTCTCTTGTTCACCACCTCGGTTTGTTCGAGGATGTTCTCTTTCTCGATGAATTACTCGACCACCTCCTGGTGACTTGGATCGGTGTCGCCTCTCTCTGCTCCTACTTCTTCGAGTCTTCTTATCCCTGTCTGGGCGATTACGCTCTCTATCCCTGCTGCGTCTCCTTTCACGGTCCCTGTTTCTTTCACGTGAGGTACTCCTACGTCGTGATGGGGAAGGCCGACGAACTTTATCTTCTCGACCACGGGGCCAATGTGTTTCCACATTTGCTGTAACTTCGGCTGGCTTTACGACTTCTTCTTCGTCTCCTGATGATTCAATACCTTCATCTAAATCATCTTCTAATGCAGAGATCTTGGGTTCAAGTTCATTGTTTTCTTCCAAAACATGTCGTTTCTGTATACGTGGTAAAATAATATCACAGAGTCTTTCTTCACGCAAAAGCTCGTCTATAAATTCGTCCATGTGAATAAGTTCAAACTGACCCTGCCGGTTCTGTCTACGAAGTTTCCTACTGTCGTTAAACAGAGGTTCCAAATACTTATAACAGTCTAAGGATGTACCCACAAGACGCATATATGTTGCACCCAAAGCACGCACATACTTGAATTCTTCATTTTTTATGAACTCTACAATGATATCTTTTTCTGGCTGAATTTGTAACATTTTCAGTACTAAACACAGAAATGGTGTCGGCTTAATGTTTCCTCCATAAACACCACCAAGAAACCTCAATTCCATAGCTTTATCAACCAATAACTCTGCACTCAACGCGAAACATTCTTCTTTCCAGTATTTGCAGTCGTATATTCTTGACCTTATTATTTTTTCGATCAAATATTGTGGATTTGTACCACGAACTGATTTAGCGTCTTTCACAGTTCGGTTCGCCATGTTAAAAACAAAGCTTACTATTTATACATGCTCTAAATCCCCAGTTCCCAGTTATGCCTGACACTGCCATTGAAATAATTGTCATAGTATATGCCGTAAATATTCGTATAATACGTGCTGCCACCTACATCAGAATAGGTGGCAGCACGTATCATTCAGCTGGTTCTTCCATCTAACGGCAAGTATTCGAAACATTTCGGGATTTTTGTACGATTTCAAATTCTCCCGGCGGCGATTATGAAATGGCTGTCTACTGCGTTGGTAAAAGTTAACGTTTCACAAGTGCTTGCTGCCTCCATCATCAGGGCAGCAAGCACCTCTGAAATATCTGCAAACTTCTTCCAAACTACACGGCGAAACAATCCAGGAGAGACCATCTTCAAATTATTGGTTAATAGGGTACCTTACCATCCCCGTGCTTTCATTAAACAGATACGAGATTAAGAATATCAAGAATAGATAAGTATTCAAGCAGGGATTATTTTATGATTTTAAAATTACACAAAAATGTGGAAATGTCCAATTTGTTTCTTTTTTGCATTCTGCTGCACTCTTCTGGTAGAAATAAGGACCAAGGTACACTGCTTATCACATAGCTCAGAATATTGGTCCTGAGACCGTAAATATAGTTTTAGGACAGAAAGACAAATACGATGGTTAAATACGTTTTATTTCATTCTGTGCTAAGGATACTATACTGCTTTCAAGATTGAGAAGAACCGACAAACGCTCCTGGTATTTTTAGATAACCTATGAATTAAGAACTAGATGTTTGTTGCGTTTGAGTTGTGGAAAAGGGTTGTGCTGTTGAAGAGCCCAAAAATCACTTATCGCCCTTACATTCTAGTGGATTGCATGTAATAGAAATGAGTATCGTCTGGTTCTTGATGTGAACAAGGATTGTTTCTTTGACCAGATTTAACTAACTGATCTTTAAACGTCTTGTGTTTTCTTTGAGGCACGGACTGAATTCTTAAACATCACATCGACGAGCATCCGCTTCAAAGGGGTGGCCTGGCTGAAGTTACACGGCCCTGAAATAATGACACATCACTACATATCCTACAGGGAAGTGTTTGGATGTTACCCACCTCGCCTTGGGCCCCCAGACGCGTTACCGCGGCAGAAAGCACGTATGACAGTCGCTGTGGCAAGGCATGTGACGGAAACGATACGGATTATCTGCTAGAGAGCGCCACTGTCGGGGCGACGAGCTCGCTCCGAACTAAATTGAAATTCTTCCAACTGGAACGCAGGGCTGCCGAGCTCTGATACGGCGTATCCCTAGGGACTCCACATAGTGCTCGAATAATTAAGGTTCGCAGAGCTTGGTAATTTAGACTTTTTATATGAAAAAATAATAATACCATGAGCTGTGCCATACCACTGGCTCTTCCATACCACCTCCCACACCCTACTTACTCCTTCCTACATGTCACCCAGTGGCTAGAGCGCTGTTCACGAGATGCACTGGCTTACGTAGCCAGACCATAAAATTTTATCACACAAACAATTTAATTCGAATTGGCATCATACTTTAATTCCAAACGTAACTAAATCCATGAAGCAGTATCCGTCTTAAGGAGCCAATAGTTGCTCAGCCCGTCAAGAAATGTCCCTGTCCTAAGGGAGATGAATCCAATTCATACTATTTCTTTGTTAGGCTGTGATACTAAGATGTCTGGGTTGTTGCACCGTGTAGTCTGATGGAACGTTACCGACGTTTCAGAGGTGCTTGACGATAAAGAGAGCAGGGACCTCTTAAACGTGTGTGGGTGCAACGTGAAAGGATGGAATGAAACTTTATCCCAAATAGTTCTGGACTATCTTACGATTTCCGAGGAAAAACGAATTTTGAGAACAAATTAAAAAAATGGCTGCCGAAAGGAGACACTTAATGTGGACGAAAGTAGCTAATGAAGCTGTTGGTTGTCGTGTTGGTGCTTATGCAATAGATACGCATGGGCGTGGGAGCCGAAGCTCCACGTATTCCAACCTCAGTGAGATTTCTATTTTGTGCTCCGACCGTTTTAACCCTACCAAAGTAACATTTAATTACGACCGTCTAATAACAGCTTTACTGGGTCTGCGTCTTTTGTGTGCTCGATGTATTATGTTATCTCTAACATCAAGGCAACTGCTTAGTGGTTAGGAAATCATTTAAACCTAGGATGTAATGAACGATTAAACAACTTTCACACCGAGACCAGACAAGGGTCAGAGATGAAGCCCGTACTTTAGTACCGAGGGTGTAATAATGTGCTGCTTGGTCAGGGATATCGCACACATCAGAGGGAGACAACCAAAGATCTCGGAGGAAAACCTGCTTCAGTACCGCTTCGACCACCACGAACCTCACTTTAAGTCACCTGGGTCTGAACCCAGGTCTCGGCGGTGAGAAACCAGCTCGTACCTGCCCTCGAATAATTCTGAATATTACATAACGGAGATAGTTCACCTAACATCTTTTAGGACAGTGTAATGTATGAGGTTGTGAGGATTGGACATAAAGATCGAATGAGGAATACAAGAAACATGCGTAAATTTTTTGTGGGAAAGCGATCACTTTAAATACTGACAAGGAGGTTAGAGGATAATATTAAAATTGGGCTTAGAGATTTATGTTAATTAGTATATATGTTTAATTTCTAACCAAGACAGAAGCTGTCCGTGTCTACTCCCGACGTCCCCGAGCCTTGTGAACCGGCTGCAATGAACTGCGCTTCACAATGATAACTGTGCGTGGATCTGAAAATTCAAGGGATTCCTCGTCAGCAAGCAACCTGTCACAAAGGCTCTCCGCTGCTGGGCTGCTGGGCCAATCAACCTTTCGCATTTAAACTCAAATCTCCGCCCCCGTCGGGGAAAAAAAGTGCAGGCTTTCATTCTATCGGCAAATTCTCCTTCCAACCGTAATAGGAAAGCTTTGTGCCGCTAAACCGTCTCTGTTTGTGGGTGTTAAAACTTTATAAAGTGTTAAGCTAATCAGAATAACCCTGACTGCGGAGTGAAAGTTATAATCTCTCTTAAGTTAGGGCCAAATTCTATAGAAGGAGCTGAAGAAAACGCTGTGTATAGCCGAAGTCATGTGGAGCTGACGTCACTCAAATTTAACGCTAGTCTGGCGAAAGCGAGCACTTCGCTTTTCACACTCCAAATCTGTTGTAGCTCTAAAAGTGTCAGGAGCGGTTAGATCGACGGTAGGAGCCGAACGTCGTGGTGCAGGGTTTGACCCCTGAACTGAATGATCGGCAGGTTCCGGATTGTTTGTTTGTCGAGCCGAATGCCAGATTTCCCCACAGAAATATTCTCTGTGTGTGTACGTGTGTGTGTTTTTCAGTTCAGGAAAATGCTGGAATACCTTAAAATCTGACACAACGAATTCCTTCAAAATCCTTAGTGTCATTAATAATTTACTATTATCCTATCATCCGAAGGAATACATACACGTCTGTTCGGTTAATAATGTAAGTTTACTCAATAGCACAGAAACATACCGTAGTACATAATCACTGAAAGTTTAACACCATGGCTTTCGAAATGGATCTGTACTTTTTCACTCATTTATGGAGGTGTAATGATGAAAATTTTATATACATTTCTTATTTCCACACCCGAGCACATATATATTTCTTCATAACTTCCTTAATTTTGCTACCATAGAACGAGATCGAGTCTTCAAATCACGCACTTCCTCGTACTGTACGTAATATTCTAAATTTCCAAACTCACTCTTTATAGATTAACAAATTTTTCTAACCGCTTTGTTTTCGAAAGACTTTCGAGTAATAACAAGTATTCAATTTATTGCTTATTCTACTAATTCCATACTCTGAATCTGGTTTATGGTTGCTAATGTTGTGGACAAATACTCTGAAACATTTTAAAGTGAAAGTTATTCTTCAGCTGAGATTCTCTGCGGACTAAGTGGCAAAGAAGTCGTTTCTCTCTTTTAATCATAATTCCCCTCGTTGCTCCATGCTAATCTATCATCGTCCCATGAGGTGTACGATACCCTCTGTCCTAAGTTAAAGACTTCCTTCCTGCCTGGCCAAGGATTTGGCTGGTCTCGGAGTAAATGTACTTAAGTTGAGATTTAGTCATAGATTACTCTGGTTTATTGACAAGTTCATAGGTTTAACAGAAGTCATCGAGAACGCAATGCTGAATGTGAAGACGAACATAAATTATCAAAGTAATTTTATATTTCATTCAGCCCGTAATTTTTCTAAACAGAGCTATTTTTTTTATAATATAACTCCAATTAAAATATATCATAGGAACCCTGCTGCAAAACGCTGCTTTAAAGCCTGTTTTCTGGAAATAAAACAAAAGGCTTAAATGCTGTGAAACAGACTTTAAACTGAGAAGTAGCACAGGACCGGGCGAATTCTACTGTAGTCTGGAGGCGACAGGGTGGAAGATACGAGATTACAAAGAGGAATCCAGGGTAAGCCGCGGGTGTATATAGTCTCACTGAGCGTTCAGACGGTCTGAGATAAGGCGACCTTACTGGAAAGGCGAAGTTTAATTGAAATAATGAGCCTAAGATGTCTCCTAAAGGTTCAGCGTTGTGTGAGAAGCCAGTTCCTTTATACAAATCATGCTACAGAACCTCTGAGACTAAAACCCATTTTGTCCTTCTTTAGTTTCTACGTTCTTGATTTAAATCTTTCATTTTGTTTCCTTACTTTATTATTCCTACTCCCTTCCTTCCTTTATTTTATATGCTCTCCCTTTCTTTCTTCTATTCTTTGCTTCTTTCTCCTCCGTTCTTCTTCCTTTCATGTTTTCGCTCTTTCCTTCTCCCCTCATTTCATAATTCTATCCTGTCTCATTACTGTATTCACAAAAACTCGCCACTGGCCCCTATCCTGAGCCAGATGATTCCAATTTACACCTTCACATCGTAAAAAACTTTGACCTAACAGCATTTCCTGCAATCAATTAGGGAACAGACTTAAACTATGTCATCAGCATTTCATTATATGAAAATCACACCGAAAATTAAAGTA